AGGTACACTATGTTGGCATATTATTAATTCAAAAACAGCAAAGGCATGTTGCAAATTTAAATTTATCATAAAAAGGAAACGTAGTTGACAAGTGTAGTACTGAGTAGCCAACTGACGTTTATAATTATTGTTGATAAACAACCAAAAGTTTTGAAAATGTGATATTTAAGTTTGTATAGTACGTCTTGCAACATCCTGTATATGTAACTAATCATTTTAGAGATGATAAAAATGTAATCTGGAAGCTACATCTCGGATAAACAAACGCAGATGTAGTAGATGTGTCCAATGTGGATAAACAAATGCTTGAGACGTAAAAAATGCATCAGATGTGGATATTCTAACGCAGCAATAGTTGGTAGGTTTTTGACAGTGACAACAAATGTCAGATTAATTTAAATTGATCAAAAATTAGTGTGATGAAATTTTTTTAGATAAAATAGTTAAGCGAAAATTGTTGAAGAAATTGAGTTTTTGTTTGATATTTATTCTTTATATAATTTTGTGTCTTTTGCTTATATTGATAGCTCTCGTGGTATTATTACTAAATAAACAGATTAATAATATTTTGATATCAACAAAATTAAATATAATTATGAATTTATAATGTTTAAATGTTAAAGTGTTTTAAAAAATATTTATTTACTGACTTGAAAGTATTTATTAGTGTTCAAAATTCGTACAACAGAAAATAATTTTTTATTTTTGAATGGAGGTATATTATTTATGTATGGTCCAGAGCCCATTAAAACAATACAATAATACATATTACAGTTATTAAATAATAATAAAATCCTAAATAATAATAGGTAAATTAATTAAAAATATGTACATATTAATTATTAATAATAATTAATGAAAAATCTAAACATAACTACTAGATTCTGTGGGAGAGATATGTTAAGTCGATTAGCAGATATTATCACTCTAGGAATAAAAGACTGAGAAGCATCATTTTAATGCATTGTTCGATATTAATTTATTTTTGAGGACTTTCCCATACAGTACAAACATATTTCGGAAATATTTCAAAAATATTACATTGTAATGTATAAATACTACGAAACATCCCAGAAACGTTTCTGAAATGTGCCTGAAACGTAAAAATGTCCTGTAAATATAATATTTCACAGTAATATTTCTAAAATAAAAATTTGAAATCTATTAGAGATATTAAATAGTAATATAAATGTATTCTAGCTTTTTTCTAAAATATTATTAGACTAAAAAAAGACAGTTATAAATATACATGTCTACTTAAAATACACAAAACTCAAATATTGATTCTTAAAACAAATAATTTTTAAACATTATTTCATAAAATATAAAGGCAATCATTTCATTTTCACAAAGTCCTTTAAATGCACTAATCTGAAACAAATAGTTTTTTTAATAAATGCCCCAAGTAAAAAAGCATTTACGATTATTACAATCTAATCATTAAGATTGAAAAACTTCACAAACTGATATTCTACTTTCTGGTATACCTTAGAGTCTAAATCACTTAACTGCACTATACTCTGCATTAATGTCACTGAACTAACTCAAAAGGCTTGGTTCTCTTGAGTCTTCTTATTAGATTGGCGTTGTTGAGGAGCTGGATAATCTCGAGGTTTCCATGTTGGAGCAGTCGTTGTTGGTGACTACTGGCAAATTTTTGTATTGTATTTTCAACAGTCTCCACTTTAAGGTCCCTATGAAGATCAGTTCCTTATTCTGAAAACGTTGAATAACTTCGATATCACTTTTACTGGCACATCCCCAAAGCTGGCGAATCGCTTCATTTTCACTAATTCCTTTAAACGCACTAATCTGAAACAAATTATAGGTAATTAAAAAGGTATATTTATATTGTTTTAAATTAACTATAATAAAACAAACAATACACATGCATACACAAAACATGAAGCTCTTCTTTTCAATCAGATGTAGAACTAATAAATAAAATTGGTGGAAGGACAGCAAATGTAGGTTATATTTAAATAGAAATAAGAAAATAAAACGCCTATAAATTTAATAAACGAAATGGCGTACGATTAATGTACTTCTCAAGAAAATGCTTGGACCATATACAGCTGAATTTAGAAGGTTCCCAATTATGCTTAATGACAAACTGTATCCACGCGCTACAGTTTCAGGATTTTTTGAAATCTATAAATATTATTTCGTATGAAAAAGTATTATTCCAATATAGGTAGGCCAAAAAGTTGATAGATGATTTTTTTGCATTTTTAAAAGCATACTTTTACACATTTCATACAAACCTGTCATAATACTGTCCTGTATAATATTTATAATTTTGATACTAACCTATGAAACGTTATTCCAGTCGATTTTTCACAAAAACGTCTATAGCTTGAGCAGGAACGTATAACACAGCAAGGCATTATATACTTTATAAGTTTGTAACACTCAAAATTTGCTCAAACACAAATTAAATTCAAATTTAGTTACACAAATTATTTTAAAAATATAACCTTCTGTACTCACAGTAATTACGGACCGGTCCCACTTTTCGATTACGCATGTCGTATCCCTAGGTTGCCAGATCAATGATTCTAATGAATAAATACATAATTGATCAATTAATGATCTTCATATGCCTTTAATATTTATTTTTTTTTTAAAACGTTAATTTATGGGGTATCCGGTTATATATTTGAAAAAATACTCTCTTTCCTAAAGTTTAAAATGTAAGTTTTGTAAAAAAAATTGTATTTACGAAAATGCTACTTACATAACGGTGCAAAATTGGTATCATTTATGGAAATATTTACACTTGGGACTAAGGTAGGGAAAGGGTTAATTAAGGTATAAATATCTAAGGCTTTCATCTTTTAGGAAACGTTTAATACTGAATCCCAAATTAACCTAGTTTATTCTGTGACTCAATATAATCAAAGACAAGTAAGGTATCGATACTGTTCTAAAGTACTTTCAAATATAATTTATTATATTTATTTATTTAAATTAAATTTAATAACAATGGATGTTCATAAATGTTTTGAAAAATTATAAATTAAGTTATTCACCTAGGTACAAGCACTGTAAAGAAAGTAATGGCAGTAAAATTGTAAATTATACATGTTACATCAGTGCTTCAGCATGCTAATATACTTATATAAAATTTAAGTTGCATTCATATTAGGAATAACGGGTGTTTGTTGAGTTAATGAGATTTATTTCATGAAAATTAGTAATACACAAGACCTTGGATCAACTTTTTTTTTATAATTTTACACGGACATATTTAAAAGAGACCAAATATTTTTAGATAAATAGACGAAGTAAGCAGCCCAAATATTTTACATGAGCAGGCTTAAGAGGTAAAGGGGCCAATTATTATTGGATAAATTGCTCAAAAAAGTTTGTAAACCCTAATCAAAAGGCGATATAGAATGGTTTTAAAAATTAAGGTTTGTCAAAATCATCACATGGTTTGACGTAAGTAATGCCAATGCTTCACAAACCAGAAAATTCAACGTCTTAATACTACTATGGGCTTTCGGTCTTTTGTTATAAGTTAAATCATTTCTCGTTTTTTTAATGCTACGAGTTTACCCTTTTAGGCCTCAATCTCGATAAGGTGGAATCCACCATTTTTGCGTCTCTAGAATTTTTTTTTTAATCGAAAACCAAAAATATCTTTTAAAAAAGTCTATCTTTATTATTATAGATATCAGGAAGTATTTTAAGTTTTTATTTAGTTCAAAATATGGATACAGATGAAAAAAATTTTCTAGATTCCATAAACGAAATCAGTTCTTTTCGAGTAATTCTATTTTTGGTAATCAACAATTTTTTTAGTTAAACAATTTTAAACTTCAATAACTTTTAAACTGCCAAAGGTAGAAACGAGCGGTCTGGAGCATAAAAACATACAGAGTGATTCTAAAAGTTTACAACCTTTAAAAAACTTTTTTATTGTAATTTCTCAGAAAATAATATTCCTGATAAAAGTTTGTGCATGACTTAAAATCCAATATAAATGTTGTAACTATTAAAATGTTTGTACTATATACTGCCCTCCTAAGCCAATGCTTTGTATCTAGGTACTTATTCATGGAAAAGCCTAGTGGTGTTTTCCAATCTGGTGAAATCTCCTTCAATCGAAGAACAAATTTATAGTTTTGATTTTTTTTTACTTATTCTTTCTTCAGTCTGCTAGCTTTTCTCACTCTTTTCGCTGTGCTACCTTTTCTTTGCCTCCTGTTCTCCTGTCTTTCCAATGTCTCTAGTTCACATGCCTCCTGTTTATTACTGCTTATGTGCTACTTGCCTTTTCTTACCTTTTTGGGGTTTCGTAATCGAAAGGTAACCAACGGGACCCTATTACTATACCTCGGCTGTCCGTCCGTCTATCCGTTAGCGAGCTGTATCTCATAATAAGTAATAGGTATTCAATTGAAATTTTAATCGAATGTGTTTTTATGTTCCACTACTAGAAATGTGTTTTTTTGGCTTTTTTGTTCGTTCTGAATAAAGTATTTAAAAAGTAACTACACGGTATTAAATCTTGTACGATGGTGGATTTATATATTTTTTTCTAAGTTCAAGCAAAAAACAAAACTTTATTGAACTATATTTAGTGAAAAAAAACTGATTCTTTATTGCACTAGTGCAATTTTATAAGTGAAGTTGAGATATGTAAATTTGTTTAAAGTTTTTTAATGTTCCAAGTGAGATTTTGATATTTTTTTTACTATATTTGATGCGGAATTTTTTAAACTATCTGGTGCGTTAAAAATTAGAAAAATCTTTTTTTTAAGATACCGCTATTTGGCTTAGGAGAACAGTATAAGAGTGAGAATACAAAATTTCATTTTCATTCAACAGTAAAGTACCCTTATTTTCACAAATACATAATCATGCCACTTGAAAAACGTATTTGGAATCTATATTTATTAGCAAATATGAAGGGCACAACCAACGAACTCCATTTTAACAATTTTTGTTTTCGCGTCTAATTTCTTTAATAATCTAAATATTTTTTTTATTTCAGATTCGTTTACCATGAAAACCAAGTCAGCACTATTTATCAAAGCGCTCCAGAAGACCTTCCACAACCTCTCAAGAAAAAGAAGAACGTGTCGAGTCTTTTAAAAATGAACCATTCGTGAAGAACAAAATAATGAACGACGCCACTGGAGGAACGCCGCTCTCCCCCAACGAGTCTGGCACTTTTCCGGTATGGCCGATTATAATAGCCAATCCCAACGCTTCTGACTTCCAATCGTGTTTAAAAGACGCTGAAATCACCACTTTCTTCAGGTAATTTTAAGAAATCCATAATTTTGTTAAAACCAAATCGCTTGGCAACATTGTGCATAATTACTTCGAAATATTTATAACGTTTTGATTCATTTCGCTCTTTTTTTCAGATTCGTTATAAATGGCTTGTTAATGAACATAATTGGCGTTCTGGGAGTGTTGGGCAACATAATTTCCATGATTATTTTGTCAAGACCCCAAATGAGAAGCAGTATTAATTATTTGTTGATCGGATTAGCCAGAGTCGATACAGTACTGATTATAACTAGTATACTACTGTTCGGATTACCGGGTATGTTTAATGTTATTAATAGAAAATCAGCGTATAATATATTTTCTCTACGGCCACTACTGAATATAGTTCTTCCGAAACCACATATAATAACAGAAAGAATACATTCTTGCTCTTGAGATTGACAGAATATTGTAAAACACTTGTCTCTTCTATTTAACACGTATTTTACCATGAACTTTTACTTTGTATCCCACAGCTGTCACCAATGTTACGCAGATTTTTGGTATCACAATTTATTTCAACTGAACTTTAACAATAACAATGCAACTGATAACATTAACGTGTAACGTCTATCATAAAACTGAAAACTGACATGAGGATCATCAGCTTATATAGCTTGCTTGACCTTTTGCGAACCTTCTCGAAATGCCTTGAATTTTCTTGACAAGTAATGGCGTTTCCCGACATTTCTGGAATATTCTATCTTTCTTGACTTGTACTTTTATTTATGACTACCGCAGCACACTGTAGGGCGAAAAGTAACATTCCACTTCTTTTTCTATTTGTACGTTTCTTTTAATAGCCGCAGGCTACTGCAGGGTGCTGCGTAACAATACTATACTCTTGGGGATTTGTTTTCTCCTCTCCACGTCTATATTAATTATAATTTGATCGTTTATTTTAATTTCTAATCCCACTTTAATCATTACTCTTTAATTTCAATGATAACTCATGCACCTCGTATGTTATATAAAGTAGATATAAGTACATCTACGATTGTTTCATTAAATTTTATTTGTAATTCGTCTTTATAAACCACTTAAGATCCTAGGTGTGTATGTCTAGGTTTAATTTTTACTAACTTTGTCAACTATAGTTAAACTTGTTATATGCTTGAAAATGGCTCTTTAGTCGAAACCAGTCGCCTTGCATAATAATTATTTTTATGTGAGATTCATTTGAAGTTTTTTTTTTAATTTTCTCATATTATTATTTAGTTTGAATTTGCCTGAATAAAGATATGCGGTGTTTGTTGAGTTAAACTTAAATTCAAAAATGGGTGAATATATTGATTTTGATATGGAATTTGATAATACTCCTCCTGAACTAACAAATTATACAAATGACTTAAGTAAACACTTGCCTTACATAAATTTGATTAACTATTTCATTTAGTTCAAAGATTTATTTTGCTATATTTATTTTCTACTAGGCATGTGGCTGTGGAGAAAATACAGTCTGTTACTCTATTGGAATGCAAATATCACACTCCTGGTTGTATATACTCGCATACGCTCGTGTTTGGAATCTTCCGCTCGTATCGAATTTTCATTCCAACCTTGTAACAGAATATTTTATTTCGCTTTTACCTTAAAAATTAGAGTAGAGTGCTTACTACCCTTATAATATACATGTTTTGATAACCCTTGCACTAGTGTGATACTTTTTTATCAATCTAGGTTTACCAGTTTTGGATCAAATGATTACAGCCATAAATTATTTTACTACTAACAGCTGTTTAGCGCCTCTTTAAAATACCTTAAAGCCTCGTTTTAAGTAGGAACGTCGCGCGTCGCCATGCGATAGCGTAGCGTCTAATGACGCCTTGTCGTCGCTTGAGGCAACGCTGTCGCACCGCGACGCCGTCCCTGTTTTTATGAACAAGGCCTAAGAATTTCATATAATAATTTGCTGTACGATTGTCGCTGACGGTGAACCTGAAACGGTTTGGATTCTAATGATTATATTTTTGAAATTGTTTTTATGATCCTATTATGAATTATAATGTACTTTTTAATCTATGAGATGATTAAAATGGGGTTAATTTACTGTTTTACCTAATAAGAAAATTATTAATAAATAAGCCTGCTGAGAAATAATAATAATAATAGTAACAATAATTATAAGTTTTCATTATTTAAAATTATTATTTACTTTATTTAGCTACTTTGCTAATATCACAATATACAAATTTAGTAAAAATATACATATGTCAAAACATAGATAATTTAGATACCATTAAAACTAACTAAAATTCTATAGGTTGTTACTGTTTCTGGAGAAATATTCATTAATTAAGAAATCTGCCACTTTAATGTAATAAAAAACTGTGTTCATATTTTATATTAGTTTTGTACATCCTGTATGATTTATTTATTCGTTGTCATATTATTTACCGTCACTAAAATTCTGTTCAATAAAGCCTAATTTCAGAAGGTATTTTCATTACAATTTATTGAACATAATGGATAAGTTTCTAAAACCCGAGAGATTTGAAACAGATCCCAATTCACCACGCGCAACTTAGGAATGGAAACGATGGTTTAAAACTTTCGAAAACTTTATTTCATCATGAATGAGTAAAACCAAATTTGGTAGATTTTCACAAAACTTTTATTTTAAAAAATAAAAATTAAAAACACTATACATGACATGTTTCGAAGTACAACTTCTTTTTCAAATGTGACATAACATAACAAAATAAACTAACTATTTAAAGTAAATAAGGGTACTTAGGTAATTATGATATCAATCAGATAACAATATATATATAACAAGATAGATAGTAACATTACCGGGATTATCTCACAGAAAACTAGGAAAGAGATTTAATAAGGGTGAGTTATTAATATCTAATTGATTATTGAGTGAGTTATCTGAATTTTTAAATCTATTTATTTCAAGTGTTTCTAAATGGTTTAGTTTAATGCCCTTATTTTCTATATGTAAAATTTCAAAGTTGTCTGTAAAAGAATGATTTTCAGCTAAAATATGACTTGAGTAAGTAGAATTATTTTTGTTTTTTGTATAGCTATTATAATGTTCGGAATAGCGCTTTTTGAAAGTACGGCCTGTTTGACCAATATACCAAGCGTATTATTGGTTTTAAAAGCTACGTTAATATTTTGGTTTTTTAAATATGATGATACCTTTTCACTAGGAGCTCCTATATATGTAAGACTCTTATATCTGCAATTTTGATCTTTAATTATGGGATAAACTTGTTGAATAGCATGTTTAAAACGTTTTTTCTCTAAAATGTTGTCTACTAACTTTGAATTAAAATTATTGTTTACTGCGATTTGTTTAATGATATTTAATTCTTTTGTGAAGTTCTGTTTGGTAAGGGGGATATTAACTAATCTATGGATCATACTGTTGTATCCTGCCAGCTTTTGTTTGTATGTATGAGATGAACTATTATTTATTGTAATATCAGCATGTGATGGCTTATGAAATATCCCAAAACTATGGCCTTTATTAATTTTGATAATATTTAAGTCTAAAAAAATAATTGAATTATCCTTCTCTGTTTCCATAGTAAATTTAATATTAGGGTCTATAGTATTGATAAAAACTAATAAAGAATTTAACTGTCTACTAGTACCAGTAAAAGCCGTCAGTATATCGTCAACATATATCGCCCATAAAGACAATGTTTACTTAAATTATTGCTATGAATTTTATGTTCTATATTATCCATAAATATTTCAGCAAGCAACGGGCTTAATGGGTTCCCCATAATAAGACCTTCATTTGCTGAGTAGATGTTATTTTAAAATTGAAAATAATTTTGTTTTAGGCAAATGTTTAACAAATTTAGGATTTCTTCTTTGATTATAATATTGACTTCATTACGATCTAATAAGTTTTCTACTAGCTTAACTGTTTCTTTAGGAGGTATACTAGGAAATAAGTTTGTTACATCGAACGATACTAATTTTGTGTTACTAGGTAATTTATTGTTTTTTAATTTTTCTGTTAATTCATAAGAATTTTTTATACTATACTTTGAATGGAATTTGCAGTTTTCTTGTATAAGTTTAATTAATGTATGTGAAAGTTTAACTGATGGAGCCGTGACAAATGATACAACTGGTCTAATAGGATAGTTCTCTTTGTGTAATTTTATTAAAGAATAAAGTTGTAGTGGTTGAGGGTTCATTTGTATTAGTTTGAATTTTTCTCTAGAATCAAAAATTGCTGTTGAATCCTGAATATTACGTTTTAGTTCTTTTTGATATTTATCTGTTGGATCAAATTTGAGTATGCTATAATTATTGCTTGCTTGTAAAAATGAAAGAGTTTTGTCAATATAATCTATATTATTAATAGCAATTACTGTAGTTCCCTTATCAGCATGAGTGAAAATGATATCATCCTGTTTTGCTTTATCCTTTATAGTTTTAATTAACTTACTGTCTTGATTTGAATTGTTATTACGTAAAAATTATGTTTTAATTATATTCGCAGTATGATATTTGTGAGACAAAGTATTATATGAATCTTTTAAAGCGATTTCTGTTTTTATTCCCAAAATTTCTAAGTTCGAAGTATTTATCTTAGGTGCGATGTTGTGTTTAAACCCTTTTTCTATTAGAGATTGTTCTGGATCAGAGAAATTTGTTAACAAATCTTTTAAAAAATGTATGATCCGATATTTTATTTGTGTTCTGTTCTGATTTTTGTTTAGGTGTTATATTATTATATTATACAACAGTATGATCCATAGATTAGTTAATATCCCCCTTACCAAAGAGAACTTCACAAAAGAATTAAATATCATTAAACAAATCGCAGTAAACAATAATTTTAATTCAAAGTTAGTAGACAACATTTTAGAGAAAAAACTTTTTAAACATGCTATTCAACAAGTTTATCCCATAATTAAAGATCAAAATTGCAGATATAAGAGTCTTACATATATAGGAGCTCCTAGTGAAAAGGTATCATCATATTTAAAAAACCAAAATATTAACGTAGCTTTTAAAACCAATAATACGCTTGGGAAGTATATTAAAAACAATAAGGGTAAAATTAATTCTAATAATAAATCGGGGGTATATAAATTAAATTGTGGTAGTTGTCCAAAATTGTATATTGGTCAAACAGGCCGTACTTTCAAAAAGCGCTATTCCGAACATTAATAATAGCTATACAAAAAACAAAAATAATTCTACTTACTCAAATCATATTTTAGCTGAAAATCATTCTTTTACAGACAACTTTGAAATTTTACATATAGAAAATAAGGGCATTAAACTAAACCATTTAGA